GTATTATATTATCCTTGAGAAAAGTCATCTGTCATTCTTTTTTGGATTTACAAGCATTTAGTAACTTAATAAATATTTGTTAATTAAAGTAAACAAGTTCACGGGGCTGGAGAGATGGTTCGGTGGTTAAGAGCACTGACTGCTCTTCCAGAGGAGCTCGGTTCAATCCCTAGCACCCACATGGCAGCTCACAACTGTCTGTAACAGTTCCAGGGGATATGATACCCTCACACAGACATATATGCAGGCAAAACACTAATGCACATAAAATAACAATAAATAGATTATTAAAAACTAAGCCAGTTTAGACATTCATTTACAATAGCACAAGTTAAAGGGTTCATATTTGGAGAAAACAGCAAAATAGTAGCTTTTTAAAAATTTACTTAACCTAGAGCACAATGCTGGGCAATAATTACTCCATCTTAAATCTCCAAGCCCACATAGCTTCCACCCATTCAGATTTCCCACATTATACTTGTTTTTAGTCATATCTTAGGTCTGGTTCATCTCTCCTGGTGTTTCCAGATCCTCTCCTCTCAGATCTCTCTCCAGCCTTTCCTCCCATTCACTTCTTTTCCCCTCCCCTCTGGACTAGGATGTCCCACCCTATTCTCTCCATTGCTCAGCATTAACTGGTTGTTTTATTGGTAATACAGAGAACAAACAGTAGCATGTTGACACAAACTTGAGATAGGTGCTGCTTACTCTAAGCATCACAATGCAATGTCCAGATTGAAACCAGATAGCGGGGTAGAGTAATCAGCATGTGAATGAACAGGGGTAAATTGTATACATTCCACAAGAACATTATACCAACAGAGTTTCCTGTGAGAAGACAGGTTTAATTTTGATAGAAAATAGTAGCATTTTTTAACCTAATATTAAGTGATACTTTACTATAAGCTTTGTGTTGCTCTAAGACAGAGCATTTGGTCAGTGGTGAACGAGATTCACCACTGACCCTGTTTAACTGACAAGAAAACTGAAGTGCTAAGAAACAAATGGACTTGGGCTAAGATTCTGCAGCCAAGAATCAACAGAGCTAGAATCTGGATCCTGTAATAAAGCCCCAAGGCTCACACCTCACTCTCCAGAGCATCCTGCTGTGTGCACGCTGCTTGCCTTAAAGCTGGCCCATCTGTTTCTAAGCTGCCTTTGGACTAGTGGTGTGCTTCCTTACACATCTGAGGTCAGCAGCGGAGAAACTCTCCTGAAATAGATGCAGTGCCAGTATTAGCCTGACAGGAATAAAGAGAGAAAAATGGACATTTAAAGGCTGACATACATGTGGGCACGATGAAACAGTTACAAACCCTTAAGTAAGTGTCATAAATATTATAGTGGAAACTATTTATACAGTTTTTAGAGACTAGTTGATGTAGCTTAGATAACTTTGTATCTGAGTATGCCTGTGTCTTTTCATTCAGTGACGCTAAAGAAATTAAATGTTTAAAAAAACCCAACTTTCCAAATACTGACTTAATGGGAAACATGATGTTTGAGAAAAATGAAGTAAAATGGTCTTTGAGCTTGCATTAAAATCTATTACAGATGCCACTAGAATTTAGTTCAAGAAGGTGCAAGTCCTAAGGAATGATTTTATCCATCTAAATGAGAAACACTAGGTGTCTGAGTAATGAAGATTGCTAAAAGATTTGGCATGGTAACTTCTCTCATTGCTTTGTTCTATCTCCAGTGAATGGTTCAACCTGAACAACAGTGCAGACATGAACTTCCCATTCAAACAGAATTAAATTTATTATACATCATAGCATATGTTCTGTTGGTAGCAAGGTCTTGATGTGCATCTGACACCATCACCAACTGACTGAAGTTGCAGTAGGAAGAAATGAAGTAGGTTCCAGTGGGTCCTGACTAAGTAGATATTTCCAGCTTTTAATGTGACGGTTATTAATTTTTAAGATTGTTCTTGCCATTGGGAACTCAAGTGAAAAATATAAATTGCTGTAACTTAAAGGTTAAAGTGAATCTTCATAATTAAGAATACTATGGAAAATAAATTTGGAAGGTTAACATTTAAAGATAATTGAAACAGAAAGTGGCCTATATATAAATACTCAGATTGGTATGGTTATAAGAATTTAATTTTACTGCCTGTTGGTATCTAAAGGATTTAGCTACAGAACATAGGAAGAGTGAACAATTCAGCAATTCTATTCTGAATCAGGATTGTACTTAACTCCCAGAAGTCTCAGGCACATAGGTGAGCGAAGCGGAAGCCTTAGAGTGTGTGCGTGCCTGTATCAGTGGAGAGGACCCACATTCACAGCACAGTGCTCAGCTCCCTTAGAAATGCAGTGGGCTCAGATTAGGAAATCTGAGGTAACTCTAGAGAGCAGAGTCCAGAATTTGTGTGAGATCTTCCAGCTTTTGATAGCTGAATTGCTTTTAGAATGCTTTGTTGAGGCAACCATCAAGATCGTTAACAAATGATAATGGACAGGGAAAAAAAATAATGACCTGGGGTGGGGAAGCAGAAAACAAGGCAGGTATCATATCAAGAGTGGGTGGAGGCTTCAAGGATGGTATCCTGGATAGATGGGGTGTACTCTGCTTCTCTGCTACTGGAGATGGAAACTTAAAACATAGCTCAGCTTTAGTTCAATAGAGACTCACTGGGAGTACAGTGTATCAACCTTCTGCTTCACCACTGTTGAACTGGAAGGAAAACTCAAGAAATGAGAGCAAGTTCTTAGCATTTCTGGACACTTGTCAAAGCAGCAAGCACATTACAAAGCTTATATGACTTGGCTACAAAACACTCATTATTTTACCAAGAGGCACGTTAGGACTTGCCAATTTATTCAGCAAGCATTTGCCAACACTTGAGCACTTATTGTGTACCACGCACTGACAGGAGCTAGGGCTAAAATCTCAGAAGGACATGCTGATAGTCATGGAGAAGACAGGCAGGTAAACAGGTGAGTGAAGGGTACAGTATGAGAGTTATGAGGGTTGAGAAACCCATGGACAATGATGAGCAGTTTCCACAGAGGGCCAATCCCTCAGGTTTTATAGGAAGTAGCATTTAAAGTGCAGATGGCAGCTACGATCTTTACCCAGGGCTTACTGTACTCCAGGTGCTCTTCTAAAAGCTTTACTACTAAAACATGTAAATCCCAGCACTTTGTGGTGTATATCCTTTATATGCTTCATATTACCTGCATTTTACAGACGAGGGAAATGAACATGAGAATTGGCAGACTAGCAATATAATAATTATTATCTTATTAAATTTTGAAAATTTCATACATGAACACTGAATCTACATCACTAACCCCTACGTCTCCCCCTAACTACTATATCCCGGTATCCCTCTCCCAAATTCATGACGATCTCTTCTTTGATTCTCACTGTTATGTATACGTATATATACACATAATAATTATGAATATATACACAATTAAACATGAATTACATGAATTATGGGAATTACATATGAATACACAAACATCATATTGAATCCATTTCACTTTGCTCATATGTACACATGTCGAGGGATGACCTCCCTCTAAGCTGTACAAAGTATTTGTATTATATATATATGTTTAAATTATATATAAACACAAACATTTAAAATCGTGGCTAACGTCTCAACCCTAGTTCCTTTTACTTTTGCAGAGGGCACCACAAATCTTGGTGTACTCTGTGTACATGTGTCTAAGTTCATTTGGACACAAGAATCTCAGGTTGCTTCATATCCAATCTTCTGTTGCTACCACCCAGTCCTCCTGCATCCTAGCTGAGTTACATCAAATGGCCACATCATTGTCACTTTGTATCCTTTCAAGTGGCTGCAGACCTCACTACCAGAGCAATTTCCCCAACCCATGGAACTGTTTTCCTTTTCTAGTTCAAAAAAGCCTTTCTTTGTATGTGTTTTGTGGTGGTAGGGATGAAACTCAGAATATCATGCATACCACGCAAGCTCTGCATCACTTACCTGCATCTACAGCCTTCCACAGCTTTAATAAGTTCTTCTTCTCCATCACAGTGGTTCATGCAGGCGTACATGCATGGAGTCTGACATTTGTTGTCTCTCTTGATTGCACTTCACTTTGTTTATCAAGGCAGGGTCCCCTGCTGACCAGAGCTTACTAATTCTGAGTAGTCTTGCTAGTCAGCTGGCTCCAGGGACCTCCTGCCCCTGCTTCTGCCTTCTGAGTGTTGGGATTCCAAGCGGCTGCTTGGCCCTTACCTGGGTTCTGGGGATTTGAATGAAGTCCAGTTCTCCTGCTTCAGCAGTGTGTGCTTTATCCACTGAGCCATCTCCCCAGCCTTATTTATATTTTATTTTGGAGGACTGTATAAACTTTCCCATTACTAAAAGTTATAGAAAGCTTTCCTTTAAAATAAATCCAAGCCAAACAAAGGGTCAATTTAAAGCAAAGAATTAAGCACATTCTAGAACACAAACACCGTACTGAGAACAGAACCATTAAAATGAAACTCAGACTGACTAAAATTTGAGAAACACTAGTCAACCAAACTGACCCTTCTGAAATCACACAGCAGGTCAAGTCTTTCAGCTGTGCCAGGCTGTTTGTTGTGCTGTGGCACTACGCTGCTTCAGCTGTTTGAAATCTGGCAACAGTGATGGCTCGTCTGTGTTCCTGGGAGACATACTACCACTTCCAGGCCCCCATCTTTTGCCCATGTCATCATTTGCCTGGAGTCCTGGGTCCCCATGTCTCCCTGTTTACACGCCCTCCAGTTCCACAAGAATGCTGGCCCCTGCATGAAGCCTGCAGTTGGCCAACAGATCTCTCTTTCTAGTGTGCTTTGGTGACATTGTATTGAAATAATATTCTTTTACTTAGTATATGTCAAAGGGCAAAGAGGAAAGATATGCGTTTTATTCTCTTTTAATAGCATCATGATACCTAACAAAAGGCCTTATGCACAGAGAAGGCCCATAATGAATATCTTGGGAATTAAATTTAATCCTCTTTAAGCAACATCCATGTGATACTTACAATTTTACGCTTGATCATGAAGAGTGGAATTTTTGCATGAAGAGGGGTTGAGGACAGTTCCTTATGGACTGTTGATAAATACAATCTTCTTTTGATGTTTCCTAAATCAGTAATTCTGAAAAAAAAAAAAAAAGGGAGACAGGAAAGAAGAAAGATTCCCATGAATTTAAAATACATTTCTTTGGGTAATCATCAAAGTAATATAATTTATCAAATAGGCTCTTTCCAACACAGAGCTCGAACACAGAATTGAAGAATTGTCATTTTCTTTCAAGAAATAATAAAATTTCTTCTTTAAATTCAAAGTGCTCATAGGCCTGAATGTATAAATTCACTTAATATGCTAATTTAGTTCAGCACTCTGCACTAGGTTTCCACAGACCTCCAGCCTATGAAAAAAATTCAATTTGTATGAACTGAGGAACCGCCAGCCTTTAATAACCATGCTTGTTCCAGCCCCTTAAGCTTGTGTTATCTTGGGACATACTGTCACCTACTAAATAGGAAAACATTATGGGTTTCTTTCCCTAAAAGTGCACCTGTCATTTCACATAGGCGCTTAGTCTGTGCAGAGACAGGCATGAAGCACCAACTGTCGGCTTCACTTCCTAAGCACATATCTTCCAACTAGAATTTTAATACACAAGTTTATTGCTCACTATTCAGGTCACCCCACAGTGATACCAAGGACACCAAATCTGAACATCTGTAATAGATTTAGACCACAGCCAGGATCACAAAGATTAGGTTTGCTTCAAACTGATAGAGGCTCATTTTTATGTTCTGCTTCTTTTATGTCTCGAAGGTAACACACCAGGCTGAAAATTCACAAACCGTCTTGGGCTGCTGTACTGTCAAATTGATGCTTTCTTAAAACCTTTCTTCCTACCTGAAAATAAATGGCTTCCTCAACCTTAGAAACTTCTTTATGGAGACATTACTTGCTCACTCTTTGCTAATGATTAATTCCTCAAGGAGATACTTCATTTAAATAATAATTATTAATATTCATAGTGTAATTATTTTTAAAAAATCAGGATAGTGCTTTTGCCACGTGTGGTGGTGCACACCTTTAATCCCAACACTTGAGAGGCAGAAGCAGAGGGATGTCTGTGAGTCTGATGCTGACATGATCTACCCGGAGAGTACAAGCCAACCAGAGCTACATGAGACTCTGTCTCAAGCAAAACAAAACAGAAAAATCTAAAACCCAACCAACCAACCAACCAACAAAAAAATCCCAACATAGCCCATTCTGTAGTTCTTCTATGATGCCTCCTCCCATTCTCTGCTTTACTAACCTCATTATTACCTATAAAATAGTCTCTGTATATTGTCAAAAATACCTAGCACTAAAACTAACATGAGATGATTTTTAAGTACATTCCAGACTTCCTTCCACCCCTGGAAGGTTTTCAAGCTGGCATCTGAGCTAAGGGTTCAATTAACTAGCGTGATCTCTCTTTCACTTCAGCTGTACACGACCAACTGTACACGACCAACCTGATGTGCCATCTCATCCTTTTAGATGTTGTTTTTGTGAATGTTACATCTTGTAGTAGTATAATATGTATGTTTTAAAACATGTGCGTTTTAAAAATGAAAGCACCATGTGGGAGGCAAGCATAAATTCCTTTCTAGTGGTATACAAGACTGTGAAGACCAGCCTCAGTGATAACCAGAAATCGTCTAGTATTCTGAGGCATGCTACAGGTGTGAGTGTAGACATTTACAGAGCCGCTCAACGGAGAGGGAAGGGCTGCCTATGAATGTGGGCTGGAACTCAGGCTGAGGGAACCACAGGCAAAGGTGGAGTCCAGCAGAACTCTGGCAGTCTCTATGTCCTGGTCTACCATGATGGGAACTGGGCTGCCCCAGCTTGCCTTCCTGCCATGGTAGAAGGCATTCTACCATGCCACGATTCTTTAGAAAGCACAAAGCAAAGTAAATATCCTTCCTCAAGTTGTCTGTGTGAGCTATTCTGTCTGCAACAGGAAAAGAGCAGATCTGAGGAGCAAGTGCAATTAGACCAAATGTTACCATCATGGATACGACTAAGAGCTGTCTCTCATCAGCTGTGCTTGGGGAAGTGGTGGGGACTACAAAGACTGCAAAGCAGAAGCAAAAGAGGCACACTGTTAACCAAAACCTCCTCGGCGATCAGGTTCAAGGTCTGCTTTGCTTACAGGGAAGAAATACTGAAGTTGTCCACAGCATTAAGGGTTGCAGTCCAAACAGCAGTGTTCCAGGCCCAATACTGCACTGGCATTTGGGACATGACACTAATATTCATATATTTACTGAGACATCCAATACTGCTGAGCCAGATGATGTGCTGGGAAACCCACCAGTGACATAAAGCACAAAGAACAACAAAGGTCCCAGTCTCCTGGAATTTCTTTGTTGATAGAAAAGGAAAGTGAAAAAGTATAAAGAAAAATAAGAAGTGAAGTTTTCAAATACATAGTGAAGAAAGCAAGACTCTAACTTAGATATAAAGAAATTGCCTACTTCAGACTGTAGCAATAGCACGGTTTGGACCTGAGAGGTAAAGGAAGGACAGGAGGTAGAAGGTTTATATGAGGGCCAATCACACAAGGCCATTATGGCACACAGTAAGGAGTTTAGAGGCTTATCATTCAAAGCAGGGAGCTAACATAGTGCCTACACTTTAGCCTTTACTATAAAAAGTTATAAAAGTTATGGTGTCTTGTTTAATTTTTGTTGTCATTACTTTAGCTAATATGTATGTGTGTTGAGTGTGTGCACATGAGTGCAGCGTACACCCACGCCAGAAGAGAGCGCTGAAACCTCTGGGGCTGTAGTTACAGACCACTGTGAACTAACTGCCTGGCATAGATGCTGGGAAACTTTGGTTTCCTGCACGAGCAGCAAGTACTCTTAACCACCGAGCCATTTTTCTGGCCTGTCTTATTTCCTTCTGAGGGTATCATTTATGCCACTGAAACATAAATTTCAGTGTATTCTGGTAACTGTATAAATTAATTTAATTACCATTCCAATGAAATTATAGCTATTACTTTAGGAAGTTCCCTCTTGGTCCCCACTGGACACTCTTCAGCCTGTGGGGAGTTATACTTCTCATTTCTACCATCTTAGGTAAATTCTACCTGCTGTGCAGTTTTTACAGGATGAACTGTGCATCAGATTCTATTGTGCTTGATTCTTTCACTTAATATGAAGATCTAAAGATTCATCCTCACTGACCAATATCAAAGGTCTTTTAAATTGCTGACTTCTGTTCGGGAAGTTTTTCTGTTTTCCTACAGATGAGTATTTGAGCGGATTCCAACTTTGATTTTTAATAACACAAGCCTTTGTGGATGTGCCAGCATGCCTTCTGGTGAACACGTACTTTCATCTTCTTGGTAACTAACTAGCAATGGGATTCTTGAATCACTGAGGTGACAGAAATGTCTACAGAAGCATCTCTTCAGAGTTAGTGCAGTGTTTCTACATTTTCACATAGTTTTTGAGGTCACTAGAACTTAAAATTTCAACCAACTTCAATGGGAAGTTATTGTGATTTTATTTGAATTTCCCCATGACCAATGATATTGAACAATTACACAATTGTGTGCATGTACATTTGTGTTTGTGTGCAGAGGTCAAAAGTGGGTATTGCTCCTCAGCTGTCCACCTTGGTTTATGAGGTAGGATTTCTCACAGGACTGCAGGACTCGCCGATCACAACATGCTGCCTGACTCTCAAGCCTCAGTGATCGAGCTGTGTCGGCTTCACCAGCACCTCTATTCCAAGTGCATCATACCACACCTGGCTTTTCATGTAGCTACTGGAGGCCAGACTCAGCTCTTCGAATTTACCCAACACGCACTTGCCAGACGAGATAACACCCTAGCCCCACTCTGTTTTTATATAATTATGAAAGTTCTCAAATAAATATACAATCACACACACACACACGGTGCTGGGATATCTGCACACCTGCTGGAGATTAACCCAGGATCTTGTGTATGCTAACTTGTGTGTATGGCACTCTATCATTCTGCCACACCCCCCACACCCCAGCTTCTTCATTCTTACCTTCTTATTATGTCTTTAAAAGCATAATTTTGACTTGAAAACCATATTCTACTTAGAAAACAGTATGGAGTATTACGCATGAAGACACATCTGCCCTTTGCATTTGTTTCTGTACCTGCTCTTGATCAGCACAACTTCTAACTTTCAGAAAATCCTGCTTGTCATTATGCACTTTTATTTTCCACATCAAAAAACCAAAACAAAATTAAAAAAAAAAACTTTCTCTAGTATAAACTTGTAATCACACTTTTCTGTTTCTTTGAGACCTTTCAAGGTTTATTATTTTTCATTTACTCTATGAACCATCTCAAATTAGTTTCTGCATGTTGTAATCGATTAGGGCAGTTACTTCTTTCTCTTTCTTTTTTTCTTTCTTTCTCTCTTACTTTCTTTTATCCAACTACCATTCCTTCAGTTTTCTTTCCTCATGGAAATTTCGCGGTCCTTTGTGGGAAATCAATTGACTATATTGCTCTATTCTATTTTCTATTGTTATAATGAAATAATTGAAGCTGAGTAAGCTTATTTTAAAACAAGGTGTATGTAACTTTATTTTAAATGACGTTTATGAGCTTACAATAATTATTGGGGCTCAAAGGCATGGTGTCAGTTCCAACTCAGCTGTATTCAGGGCCCCATGGAAGATGGTAGATTATGTCACACTATCAGGCGTGCATATAGCAGGAAGATTACATTTTGCGAGAGGAAGCCAGAGAAGAGTTTAGGAGTTGAACTTACTCTTTGAAGAAATCACACTTATAAAATGTGGTATTTTTACACAATGGAATACTACTCAGCAATCAAAAAGGAGGAAATCATGAAATTTGCAGGCAAGTGGTGGGATCTAGAAAAGATCATTCTGAGTGAAGTATCCCAGAAGGAGAAAGACAAACTTGGTATATACTCGCTTATATAGACCTACAAGACATGATAAACATAATGAAATCTACACACCTAAAGAAAATAATCAAGAAAGTGGACACAGGCGAAGGTGATTAATCCTCATTTAGAAAGACAAATGGGATGTGCATTGAACTTATGACAGGAGT